TCCCCCTTTTGGTGACAGGGCTGGGGGTTTCCCCAAACCTAGTTTAAAGGTTTGCCCTTCACATCATACCTGGACTGGCAGTCCTTTTTTCCAATGAAACCCCTTGCAGCAGCGTGGGCACGGGGCCCTGGGCCTGTCCCCCTCCACCTTGAGAGGGGCTTTCCCTTGCGGACAGTCTCTCTTTAGGTGCCTGGGCTGGCCGCACCCAAAACATCTCTGGTCCTCAGCCCTGGGGCGCCTACCCTGCAGCCCAAGGCCTGTGAGGGCTTCTCTGAAGGCTGTAACTAGAGCTTCTGTCTGTGTCTTGAGGACTGCAGCCGTAGCCTCGGTCGCCTTTGTTTTGGTCCCTATGTCCTTTGAGGCCATGATCCAGCTGCTCATGGAATGGTCCTTTAACCCCGCACAGATGACCTTATGGTTGGCGTTCATACCATCCCATACTAGCATTTTTATGAACTGTTCTCTGAGCCGCCCAGGGGGAACCTTCTCCTTAGACTCTTTTCAACCCTATCTACAAACGCATGTAATGGCTCCCCTGAGCTTTGATGGATCCCCGATATGGGTGGCTCCATAGGGCCTGTATCTAACTTATGCCAGGCCTTGAGGCCAAGGGCCCTGACCTGTTCCGTGTACGGTGGCGGAAGTTCTGCCTGCTGGGCGCCCGTGGCAAAGGCGCCCATGGTCCCTGTCAGCATGCTGAAAGTGATAGGGACGGGAGGTTGGTGGCAAGGTTATTTTCCACCTGGACCCAACATTCCTCTCGGTATAGTGCCGCCCATTTAATAAACAAGGGGCTGGGAGGACTGCCTTGGCTAGATCCATCTAGTCTTTGGCTGTACAGGGTTGATATACCAAGCCCTGGAGAAGGGCGTCGACCCAGGGGGACCCGGGGCTGTCCTTGGCCACTGCCTTCTTCTTTAAGATCTCTAGCCTCCCAAGGGTACCAGGCGGCTGGGTGCTGGGGTCCGGGGTTGATGTTTATGGGGAAAGCCTGGACCAGTCTCATGGGAGCGGAGAGCTCTGATGGACTAGATTGCCCCCCTCCAGGGTCCTTTCCCTCATGCTCATCCCAACTGCCCGGGGTCCCCACTTTATCTTCCCCGTTCTCGTCACCCCCCCTTTCCAGATCTCTCCATAGTATGCGCTTTGTATCGTTGGGCTCTCTCCTCATCAAAAGCGACCCGTTTACCTTCCCCTGTGACCTTATCCAAGTATGCCCGAGGGTCAGATTGGGTTGAAAACATGACTTCAGGGCTGAGATGGTGGGGTAAAACCCCAAGGGTGGTTCCTCCCCTCTATTGATCTCTGTCTTGCGAGCCAGTTGTTCAAGCCGGTTCCAGGTAGCCCACTGGAATAAATTGCTGGCGGGCAGCCAGGGAGTGAGACACAGGGCGGCCTCCCAGACCTTCTTTGACGAGGAATCAGACTGTTCTAACCCCCTGGATCTCAGCATATGTCTCAGCGTTGTGAGTGCTGGGTCCTCACTTTTACTCGTTGCGTTACCCATCTCTTGGGGTCTCACTTCCCTCGATACTCACCCAATTAGCCCGGCAGTCACCTCCCGTAGCGGGTCCAAGTGGTCTTCGGGCGCCACGTTGGGCGGCAGATGTCAGGATCCTGCCCTGACACAGGAGCCGGGGAAAGGGAGATGAGCTGTCTGCCCGTAACCCGCAGCCTCCCTGGGAGACAATCAGACACGACAGGGAGCCAGTCAAGCAGGAACTTGTTTATTGCAGGCGTTACAGGACTTAGGAAGGCAAAAACCACAAGGAAAATTCCCTCCCCAACCAAGTGTCCAATCATATGAAAGGTGAACTTGAGCATGCAGTCTCCTCTTCACAGCACAGCATAGCGTTAGTGAGGTGATCATGCGCTGCCAAGATGCACAGAAATGACAGGAGCCAATTAGCGATTCTTCAGAACAAGTCTGGCCATGTTCTGGCTGTTTCCTCTAGGCGCCAAACAAGTCTGATCATGCCCCGGCCGTTTCCTCTGGGCGCCATCCTGCCTTGCCCCTGGCCTCAGGCCTCCACAGTGGAGTTTGGTGGGGACATAGTGTTTTGGCTTTCTATTATTATTCTTTCGTTGTGGTTTTGGCATGTGAATTTCTTTTGTTGTTTATGATTCTGATATGAGAATTAAGTTGAAGTATGCTTCTGTTTGTATTATCTGGGTGCCTAGTTCCTTTCCTCATTGGTTGTGTAAAGCTGGTTGGTACGGGCTTCAGGTTCTCTCAGGTTTTATTTTGGAGGTAACTGATGGCTTAGATCAGCTATTCAGGAGCACCCACAGAAGCCAAAGTCAGGTTCCAGTCAGCTATACTCAGGCTTGCTTCTAAGGTTTGGACCCCTATTATCAGGAACTCAGAGAAAATTTGGAAAGTTCCCTAAGGTGGGGGGGCAATTTTGGACTCTCAGTACAGTGCAGTTGGGGGAAGCTGCAGGATCCAGATACTCTCAGGCAGTCCCCTGCTTTCTCAGCCCCTGTGCCAGAGTGGGGGCCCAAATGGCAGTCTGTTGAGATCGCAGCTGCTACACCAGTGGAGGTCAGAACCCACCCTCCCTCCCTTTTCCTTTTTGATCTCCTTCTCCTTCCCTTCCTGTCCCCTTCCTCCTTGTCTTCCCCTTCCTTCCCCCTCTCTTCAAGGTGCTGGGAAGCATTTCCAGGCCCTCCTGCACACAGGCAGCAGTCATTCTACAGCTGAGCTGCATTCCTAGCACCCTTATCAGCATTTTAAACTTGGAGTTTTACAAGCTTGAACATATGTAGATAACGGCTTGATTTAAGACTTTTTTGTGACTTTATTGGTATGGAAGTGATGTCCATTTAGAAGAAAGTCTACTTGGGTTTTGGTGATGGTCTTCTGCGCTAGTGACACATGGTATGATAACTTGGTTATGATCTCAGGTTGTGGCACAGAAGGCAGTTCCCAGTTATTGGCACAGTCATGAAGGTAAATGGCCCATACTGTTTACTGTGTTAAGTCAGCTATGCTGTTTGGTGGTTGGGTTTTAAATGCATTTTGACTTAACTGTTTATGTGTGTGTAGAGGAGGGTGCTGGGGAATAAATCAGGGCCTTGTGCATGCCAGGCAAACATTCTACAACTGAGCTCTATCACCTGCTCAGTTTACAGTGTTTTTAATTCATGAAAGTTTATCAGGACATAGCCCCACTATAAGTCATGGTAGCAGCTGTTGCTGATATGTATAAAATCTGTGTGCTTGAAGAGTTCACGGTACATGAAGAAGGAACACCGAGAAAGAGTAAAGAACATACTGAGTTGAGCTTGACCCTCACCAGTTCTGCTTTGTGATCTTGGGCGTGTTGCTTTAACCTTCTGAACTTGGTCATCTGTAGTCTTGGTTCATCTGTCAGTTTCAGGGGTGGTAAAGATTTCTCCCTGAGACACTGTTGATCAGGTGAAATGACAGACACAGGTGCTTAGTGGTACAGTCCCAAGGTGTACCAAGCAGGCAGACACCAGCTGCTGCTACATGGCCCTCCAGCACAATGAGGGAAGGAGGCTGAGGGCTGGCACAGACCTGAGTAATAGAACTGCTTCTTCTTAGTGCAGTTCATTGCTCTGTGTCTGCTTTAAATTTTTCTGAGAAAACATAAATTGGTAATAATGGCCACTGTTTAGAAAGGGGGTTGGGAATCTAAGAAGACCTGTAGTTATTTTTAATTAGTTTATTATTCTCCTCCTGTTTAAGTTTGTGACTGCATGTATTATTTACAATACCAGTGATTTTTAGCAGTTGTATCGAGATTGGCTTTCTCCCTCCTTCAGTGTCATTTGGAAGTGTAACCTCTTGA